TTTTTTACTAATGGGCTAATATATGTTTTTCACAAGATACCCCCCATATAATATACCCTCCTCCATACAAGGTACCCCGGGGGTACAAATCAAATTTTTATCATGTGAATTGTAAGATACCCGGGTACCTTATACGGCGTTTTACGGTAATGCGTAAAAATTCAATAATTTATGATTCATCATATTCAAGATTATAAAAAAATTTTACTTAGTCATTTCTAAAGTTAACTACTTTTATTACTATATAGTTTTATTTTATATTTTAAAACATTCAAAAAAAATTTTTTAACGTTAATATATATATAAGCTTATATTTTTTTTATTACCTACAGTGTAGATTCATAGTATATGGTAAGACTATACAAAATTAATTTTTGGCCGTTACGTATATAATTCTTACGTACGTACGTACGTATTAAGTGTTCGTTTCTTTTTCACATGAAAACGTTACATTAAACCTTAAATACAACTGTAAATGATTGACCAATCAGAAAAAAAGTTGTAGTTATTTTTAATTCAAAAAAAAAACTCAACACAAACCGACTTGAGAACCGAGTTACACAATCAAGCTATCAAAAATTTATATAAAAATTTTTTTCTTCAGCAGTTAACTTTGCTGCGTTGGTCTTGAATTATAAGTAAGATTTAAATCATAGACAAAAACAACAAACATGCCCGGTGAAGCTTTACTATTTCTTTTTGGCACCATTATGGCAGCTGCCCTGCTTTTTATGATGGTTTTTTTCGTATCCTTAGACTTAAGAATTGGTGGAAAATTTTTTAAGACTACTTATGCTTTAAATATCTACTTGCTCAACGTTGATCGTAGTTGTTTTTATCCATAACCTTTAAGCATTCTTACCCTGCACGAACAGACAATCATGTTTTCAGATCTCGAATGCGATTATATCAACCCAATTGATCTTTGTAACAAATTGAATCAGGTAAACCTTTCAATTTCATTGAATGTATGCTTAGAATGGTACAGGAATACTAACAATATTTATATATAAAATCAGTTTGTTCTTCCAGAAATGTTGGCTCATGCGTTCCTCAATTTTGCGTTCTTTATCAATGGGAGTTGGATAGCTTTTGTAATTAATGCACCATTAGTAGCATATAATGTTCAAAAGTAAGTAAGATGTAAATTCTTGTAATATAAATTATTATATAAAATTATAAATTAATTAAATTAATTAAATAAATTTTAATTTTTTTTTTTTTTTTTTTTTTTTTTTAGAATTAGCAATAATCGACATATGTATGATGCTACAGAGATTTTTCGAACTCTTGGACAACATAAAAAAGAGTGTTTTATAAAGCTTGGGTTCTATCTAGTTTGTTTCTTTTATTACTTGTACAGGTACGACAACTTACATAAAGCTATTATATGATCAATAATTATACAAAAATGCCAATAAGAACAAGAGGATAGACATTTAATAATCGATCAGCCACAACACTTGCTTTAAAGTGTGCAATAAGTACGATCATATATGACTATTTATGCGTACTGATTTTCTTTACAGTTGAAATCTTTTAATTTTACAAACTTTAAAACGAATCAACAATAAATTTACTAATATTGATTAATTTGTATTTATGATTTATTATAATAGAATGATCGTCGCACTCATTAATGAATCTTAAGTTGAATGGTTATTAAAAACATTTATTAAGTTTGGGTTAATGTAAGATGGCAGGAACTGAGATAGTTGACGGACAATTCAAGGAAGGACATGTAAGAAGAATATCTAATTATGTGGTTGTATTGCATTCATTTCATATGACGAGAATTCTATAATGAATAGTCAGAGAGATGGATCATCTGTATCATCTGTGTAGGTATTTTTTATTTGTAATTTGATTTAGGATGTTTCTTGTATAATTTTTTTTCATCGTTAGTATTTATATAATTGCGCAGCTTTAAGTCTTTATTTTTTTTTGTGATTTTTAATCAAAACAAATTTTTTCTTGCAGTTTGTCAAAATATAAAAAAAACTGTTACATCATGAACGTATTTCGAAACCAAAAAAAAAAAATAATAATAGTAATATTTTATAAATACAGAAGGAACATGAAAAGATGAACAAGTATTAAAGTAGTTTTTCCTGCAACCATTCGTTGGTCAATTCCTCAATTTCTCTAATGTCGAATACCTAAAAAAAAATTAATATCGTATTTCGCCTTATAGAGTACCCCTGGTTCCTTTGATTTATACCGGGTATATTACCAGGTCTTTAACCTGTAGTTTAGTACAAGATCCGGTATGATAAAAAATATTGTTTTCATAATATGATCCTTACACAAGACCTCCCCGTTAGTATACCCGGGGGTATAAATCAAAAAAAAACCTGTGTACAGTCAGAACTCTATAAACGCAAACTCCATAAATGTATGGACTAAGTAAAAACTCTTAATGCACGGCATTGTCTGGTCCCAACTCATAAGAACTATATATAATTTCTACTCTAATCTCTAAGTGCATTATTCCAAAATTTTTTCTTATGGTCCCGACGGCAGTGCATTTACGGAGTTCTGAATGTAGATTGTAAGAGACCCCGGGTACTCTCCATGGCGAAATACGGTAATAATTAATATTGTATAAATATAACTGAAACGAATCTTAAATTTTCCTACCTTGTTTAAATCTGCTTTTTGTTGAAAGTATGTTTTTGCACTCGCATACTATCATAATTATAAAACATAAAATTTATAATGATGCGATGTAATAAATGTAATAAATGTAATAAATGTAAAGAACAATAAATAAATACCAGCATGTGTGTCTCAGGTTTTGTTGAAGGTGGTGAATAGTAAATTAGAACTAGCGGGAATGATTTACGACCATCTCGATGAGATAGCTATTGATGAAATTTAAGAGATATTAACCGATAAATGCTAATAAAACCAAATAAAAGAATATTTTCTCGATGTTTATACCTCATAACTTAGTACAATATATCTTGGTGAATTCTCGGGAAGCTCTAAAAGTTAAACCTTCTGTAAGATACAAGTTTCAATTGTATATTCATTGTATATAAAAGAAAGAATCAATATCGCACCTTCAACAAGATCTTCTAAAGATATATCATCATATAATACATCTTCGACGACTAACAACTTCTCCACATCAATCTTTACTAATAAAAGGGACTTTGCTTTAAAAAATAAAATCGATTATCGATTAATTGATTAAGCCTATTGAAAAAACTTACAAACAAAAGCCGATGTCCCTTTTTGAGACCTTTTCCCAAATCTAAATTTTTGAAGCTTTTGTAAAACTTCCGGATCAACTTCACATGTTGTAGACTAAGTTCGCAACAAAAAACTTTAAATTTGACAACATAAGAAATAAAAACTTTAAAATAATGAATATTAAAGTACCATATTGTATTGACAATTATACGTAAAAAGAAAATCAAATATATATTTTTAAGTTTATTAAAAAGCAAGCCACAAACTAATATTGATACGTATAACTAATATGGATAAATACGAAAATTATTCCCATATATACTAAAAAGACAATTCGCTACGTATACTTTATTAATTTCTAAATGTAAAAGATAACATTGGTAATAATTATTTATTACACGAATAAATGTTTGATTGATTTGAAAAAAGAGTATTGGTATCTAATGTAATAAAATGTTCACAATTTTATATACGTTGTAATGTAAAATATTTTCCTAAAGTTCACCCAAAGTCTTGTATTGTATGAGAAAAAAAAATCATTTCGTAACCCAACATAATGTTTTCGTCCCCGAAAAGAATAGATAGAGTTCTTCGTTTAACCTCCGAAACCATAAAGAGTACGTCCTTGTCGTTTAAGGGCGTATACTATTTTACCAAAACGAAATAGAATTTTTCATTAATATAAAAAAAATTTTTATCGAAAAAATAAAATCAACTATTATAATAATAGTAAAGTTCTTCAACACACCAACGTCGAGAGAAGTTACTGTTTTGCGTTTTGCATGTTCCGTATACGTGACGGCATCTCTGATAACGTTTTCGAGAAAAACTTTAAGTACACCTCGTGTTTCTTCGTAGATAAGGCCGGAAATACGTTTTACACCTCCACGACGTGCAAGACGACGAATAGCAGGTTTGGTAATTCCCTACAAGTTAAAATCAACAAAGATTTCGTTACTTAAGGTCATAATGAGATATATCTTAAATTGGTAAGTCGAAGGTATTATTTACTTGAATGTTGTCACGAAGAATCTTGCGATGACGTTTTGCGCCGCCTTTTCCGAGACCTTTTCCACCTTTACCACGGCCGGACATGTTTATCGTATTAGTTTAGAGGTAAAAAAGTTTTTGTTAAAAGTTTATTTTTTTTTAGTATATAAAAGAACTCCGAGATACAATTATTATTTTTAGGGAATAAGAATTAGAGAAAGGAGAAAATCCATCCCTTTTATAACAATTGGCCTGATCAAATAACGCGTTAATATTGTTGTCATTTGTATTTTGTTGATCAAAGATTTCCGCGTTAAGCTATTCGGTGATTCTCAAAAAAGGAAATCAGATGATCGCGAAAGTGTCATTGTTATCTTTTTCCTATTTGAGACGCGCCTCACATTTTTATTACTTAGATACGTACGCGTAAATGCACGTGTCGAATTTATGCTCTACCACAACAAAAAATGTTTATCTTTTTTTTAAAAAAAAAGGTTAAGAAACCGGTATACATATGTAAAATAAACCAATTAAATTAAATACTACAGTAGAAAATAAATTTAAATTAACCGTTAAATTTTATTTAAAAAAAATAAAATACTTATTTTAAAACTTTTTAAATACGTACAAGTTACTAATTAAATATTATTAATAATTATAATACAAAAAATATATATATTACTACTATACTATTACAAATAATATATCTGATATGTATTTTAATTGCCTTCTAGTTATATATGTATAACTTGTATATATAACCAACCAATCAAATTACAGAATTTTGTATAACAAAAATAAAAACTAAAAATTAAAAAAATTAATAAAGTTTTAGTTTAGAATTTTGTATATAAATTTAATTTATACAGTACCAAACAGTATAAGAGATTCACTTTTTATATATAAAAACTTTAAATTATAATAACTTTTTTAAAATAAGTTAATAAACAAATCATAAGTCATCTAAACAAAATATTTTTTTTTTATATATAAATTTTACTATAAGTGTGAATGTGGAACACACTTATCTAAAACTTTTTTTCTTATTAAAAAATTATTTTTGGGTTTGTAACAAAAGTTGTAGAGCTTATTAAAAGATATCTAATGGTAGTAAAAACATTAAAATTGGCTTAGTGGTTCTTGAGAAATCTTTAAAAAACTTTTTTTTTTATATATAAAATTTCTTTAAAAAAATTTTATATAAGAGAAAGAAGTTTTTTAAAGATTTCTTAAGAATTACCAAGCCAATTTTAACGTTCTTACTACCATTAAATACTTTTTGATAAGCTTTACAATTTTTGTTACAAGTCCAAGAATGATTTACTTAGAAAGAAAAAGTTTTAGATAGATGCGCTCCACATTCGCACTTATAGTAAAATTTATATATAAAAAAAATTATTTTGTTTAAATAACTTGCAATTTGTTTATTAAATCAAAAAACTTTTTAACAAATTGATAGATTTTTAACCAAACTACATTTTCTGTTGAAGAATTTTTATTATTTTTTGCTTTAAATAAGTTATTAAGAGATAAAGTTTATAATAATTTAAAAATTAATATTTTATACAAATCACACAACTCTTTCTAATGATCCCTTGGTCAACAACAAAATAAATCAAACTACAGAAAAATGCTATAGGAAAGCAACAAAGTAGATACAGCAATACTCTTGATCTATACAAACAAACTTGCTATCAATGAAGCTACTATATATATAAAATACTAAGAAGCAAGCATATAATAAAGAGCAAGTTGTGCTTTTGGATCAAGATTTTTAGTAAACTCTCTCGCACTTTCAGCATCCAAACCAGAAGGGTTATTCTGGAAGCAACATCTCTGTAGGTCCCTAGTCAAGAATATCTAGTAGAAACTAAGGAACTAGATTATACAACTATAAAACTTACATGAAGAACCTCATATATTATCGTTGACTCACCACTTTTTTTCAGAGAAATTTTTGTAAAAAGTGGGCGATTTAGTTTACTCCCTCCAAAAGATCAATATCACGTATATCAAAACAGTCGGTATTGTTTATTTTTTAAATTGGTATAACGGAACAACAAACACGTTAAGACATGTGTCTCGAATATAAAAGCTGATCAAACAATGCTTTGAGATTAATCTGGTTTAAGTACTGATCTCCCTATCTAATTCGGTTGAAGAAGTATTTATCCACAATGTTTTAAACTTAGATATACTAAATAGATAAAATTTTTTTTTTTTTCACTTAGGCAAAGTTGTGCTAGTGATTCCTGTTTATTAAAGCTCTTCTCGTGAAAGTTGTAAGCAATAAAACTATAACCCTGACATTCTGTGGTTACCTCGTATAACCTAACCAATTATCTATATACACCTATAGGTGATCTGCCACATTGCAGAGGTACGATCAATTAAGATAATACCCTAGACAGGGCTCATTCGACCACCATCTTACAATAGGATATTGCCAATCTGATGACATTTTCTCATAGAGAAGTGAAAGAAAAAGAAAAAACATTTTATAAAAAAAACACAGAGGTATAAAGGAATACAATAAAAGATACAAACAAAAAAATAAAGGAGTAAAGGAGAAAAACCAAAAAAAGAAAAGTATAGAATATATCCACAATGGATGGTCACAATTATAAGCTTGTGTCGAGCTTTGTAAAAATTACATATTACTATCTAAACTAGTCTCTATTCTAATTTAACTAATTAGTATATTTAAGCGAAAACCTAAAGGAAAAAAAAGCTTTTCGACATCAGCACTGTACTCTAGCACTATAAGCTCTTCAGCTTCTTTTGTTTAAACTCCCATAAAAGCATAAACAAAAGTGTGCTACGGGCACTATAGAGAAGTCAGAAATTCGCATAGTTGGTCTCGAAGCATTGTTTGTCCAGGTTGCTACTTCTGAGACACATAATCTATATATCTACATTCTATAAGTATTTATGTGTTTGTTGTGACAGAAAAAAAGTAAACAATGCTGACCAATTTAGTAAGTAAACAATATGTCGATCTTTTGAAGAGAGTAAGCTAAATTGGCCACTTTTTTATAAAATTTTCCCTAAAAAAAAAGTGAAGAGTTAATGAAAATATATAAGGTTCTTCTTATAAGTTTTATAGTTGTATAGTCCAGTTTCCAGGTATCTACTTG